TAAAATTAAAGCGAAATGCACATATTTGAGACAGCAGAAGAGGTCTGTTCATGAACCCACTCTTGATACATATGTTCTTCCTGCCACACCCCGCACGTTGCACTCCGACTCAAGAGCTGGGGATAAGAGCACCTTGTGAAGTTCTGTTTGGAACCCTGTGGATGATTATAAATGACAAAGAATACAGAGCCTCATGCCAGTGGCCCCTTGACTGTAAGGAACAGTATCCTCTCTCGTGACAACCCTGCGGGACACAGGTGGGGTCAGCCTGGCTGCTTTAACAATTCTGGAATGTGCTCTCAGGGTGTCAGGTGAAGTTTGTGCTTGGCCGGCTCTCCCCTGCAGAGGTGCATTCTCCCGAGAGGGGCCATGGGTGCAGGCCTTACATTCAACTGGCGCATCTTGTCGTCGGCGTCGCTCTCCGAGAAGTGCTCCACGTTGGTCAGCTGCAGGTCCATCTCCGTGAGCCACACGAGAACGCTCTCCCGGGTCCCCTCGAATTCTTCCCTCTGGTTGGTGAAATGCTGCAGAAGAGAACCGGGTGTTTGGGTGGATGGCAGAAGACAGTTCAGCAAGGTTACTTTTGGCCAAGACAAAAGGGTACCCCAGGAGACCCACAGGGCATCAGGGCCAGTGTGGGGTTGGGAGCCCGGGCTCTGCTCCTGGCTGTGGGATCACAAACAAGTGCCCCAACTTCTCTGAGCCTTCGCGTCTTTGTGGGCAAGTGAGGGTGTGGGACCGCGGACTGCGACGTTTCGGGTCCTTTCAGCAATTCTGTAATTCTCCGAGTCAGTGATTTTCCCAACCTGCCCTTTGAGGAACGCCCTCAAAGTCCGGGCCAGGCACCTTGCCTGTTTTTACCTGTTAGCCTTCTGTGGAAGCTTTTGCTTAACAGAAAGATTTAGTAGCTTCGAGATGGAAAAGTATGGATGTCAGGGTTAAGCCTGGCCTAGTGCCCCATTTGCCTTCACTGAGGTAATCCTGAATGTGTGCCCTCAGAGAAAGAAGACCCAGATTTATCACCTCCAATTAAGGATGCCTCTTGGGTTACCACCTTAGAGATGGGCAGCCGATTCTCAGACAGACAGCATTCAGTGCCAAATGACCATTCACAGTCAAATCGGTGGGAGATAAGGAAATTAATGCATGGGGGGTTGTCTGAAAAGCTAACCCACTCCTTCTTGAGGGTTAAAAAAAAAAAAAAAAGCCCAGATTTTCATCATCTTAGAATGATTTCAAGAATGTTCTGCCCTGAGAACAGAAGCAGGGGTTAAAATTACTTGCCGCAGCCATAGACCACACTGGCCCGGTCAGTTTGCAACTAGACTCACAAAGGTTAACACCCCAAGCCTTCCACATTCCAGAAATCTCAGGTGAATGCCTATTAGATTTAAAAATCCAACCCAACCTCTGAGGTTAGGTCAATGTGCTCTGAAATTCGGAGGATAATCACTGTCCCCAAGCTCCACAATGCAGAGGGGGCTCTGTCTCCAGCTCTCACAGTGCAAGAACCAACGGGACACACAAAAACGGGCAGATGGGCAAGGCGGGGCCTCTTTCCAGGCGAAGAGGCACCTTTGCCACACCGGGTAATGGCAGCGGCCCAGGCTCTGGGCAGTCTGTGAGCCAACGTGCAGGCCTTCCGGGTATCCAGAATTGGAAAAATGATGCGCTTGTTACCACAACTCACATAACCAGGCCCCGCCTAAGAAGCCTATTCTTGGGCAAACAACCTCTTTAAAAAACATGAATGCTGGCAGCTTCGGCTTAAAGCAAAGGGAAGGCCGACTGGGAGAACGTTCAGGTAGCTGAGGCCGGAAATGAAGTCTACCCATGGCTTCGCTCTAAGCCCGATACCACACATCGCTTCTCCCCGAAAGGCTACAAGTAAGGCGGGTGATGTAAACAAGGTTACTCTGAGTCTCCGCAGGACGGCCGTGACCCGCTTCTGGAGGTTGTCCCAGCGCTGGTTGCCCTCGTGTACCATCTGCTTCAGCTTGCTGGCAGTGTCCGTGCGGTTCTCCCGGGCCAGCCGCCGGTACTGCTTGTTGATGAGCTCCAGCTGCGTGAGCCTCTCGTGGATCTGCCGCTGGAAGGCCTGCGACACACGGGCCGCGTCAGTGCCAAGGCACGCGGGGGGCCAGCCCGCCCCCTCCCCGGCCCCAGACGGCCCGCCTCGAGGGCTTACCCCCCTAGGATGAAGTGGCGGCGGAGAGCCTGCTTCACCTGCCCTGATGCTAAAGAACGGCCTCTCAAGTTCACCGCGTGCCGCGTCTTGCCCGGCAAAGCGGACTCAGCAGCTGCCGGCAGGCTGCGGACTGCGCCGCCCTGGCCAGAGGTGGGGGGAGCCGGCCCCTTAAGGGAGTCACCTGAATTGCCCAGAGGCTTGATTCCCAGGAGCAGCGGGCTGGAGGGGGGCCCTTACCTCGAACCTCTTCAGCTCTTCTTTGGCATTTGTGTACAACACCTCTGAGGAATTCGGGTAGGCTGCTGTCCTCTCGGCTGACTTGAGCCAGTCCTCAAAGCGGGAGTAATCATCTAGAAATTTCTGCCACAGACGCCACGTCTCTTCGATTCTGGTAGGAGGAAAGCACCTCAATATAAGCCAGCCATTTCAACAATGAGCTTCCATTTTTTTTTCCCCCTCCCTTGATGGGCCCAATTCCCGACACCCCTCGCACTGGCACTGTTTAGGGGAAGAGACCCTGATATCCCTCTTCTAAGAAATAACCAGAAACATCCCCTTCTCGGTCAGGACACCTTCTGTCTAGGACTGCCCTTCAGAGTTCCTGAAGTTCACAGAGGTTAGCAGGCAGGAGACAGAGCTCCCACTACTTTGTGGCTAGGGACACAGAGGCACAGTGGCCAGCGTGGTTACACCTCAAGGCCCAGGACTGCTGGGGAAAGCTGTTGCCCTGATTATATTTTTTTCTTGAATAATTCACTTCATGCGCACTGGTCACACCTACTGAGCCTTCTCTGCCAACAGCCTTGGAAGCGGAGTGAACAGAACACAGCTACTCTTCCTGAGATCAGAAGGACGCACGGAGTCTGGCTGACCATGTTCAAAACGTTTAGGGGCGGCTCATTTCTTACTTCATTCGCCGTTCCATTGACATGGCGCAGATGTTCCTCCAGCGTCTGTCCAGGCTTCTGGTGGTCTGCTGGATGGAGTCACACTCGGTCTCGTTGGCACAGGCATCGGAGTCGTGCAGTAGGACATCGCAGATGTTAAACACAGATTCCACCCCTGCGCTGTGTTGTTCGATGTCTCGCTGCAGGTCCTACGGTTTTAATAGAGCAAGGAGCGCCTTGGGGTGGTGGTGGAAAGATTGGCATCAGAGGATCTCCACTCCCCCGAGACCCTCTTCTAGCCCAGGGGGCACAGGCCTCATGCACGTCCACCTTGGGATCAGTAACGATGACTACGTCCCCCCCACCTCTGCACAACCCTTGTGCCGTAGCACCCGGCAAAGCTTCAACACTGGCAACAACGGGATTTATTTGTTGAACTGGCTAGAGGGGGTAGGAGATCAAAGGGTACCCTCTTCTGAGAGCCCACTGCCCCACAGACTCTGGGGAGGCATGGCATCCACCCAATATCACCGGACCACAAGGGCCTCCCATTTAGACATGGCTCCTGGGAGGTCTTCCTTGGGAATCTCTTCAGAAGGACCTAAAACTTCAGCAATAGAAACTCTTAACTTTTTATGGGTCACAGAATTCTCCAATCTACTGAGACCTCTGGTCCATCTTCACACACCCCCTTCCCCCCCCCCCCCCCCCCCCCCCCCCCCGCCAATCATGCATGCAGCTGCATGCTGTCCACAGCCTCTCCATGAGCCCATCCTAGGGCTCCATAGCCCCAAAGGAAGAGTCTGGGAGTAGAGACCCCACTTCCCCAACGGATGGGGTCCAAATGAGGGGGCAGGGTCTCTCTGGAGTCTTGTGCCAAACACTGCTACAGTTCCTAGATTCAGCAGAAAGAGAATTCGTGAAGAGACAATGCATGGTTATGGGGAAAAATGGAAAACCTGTTTAAGAATAAACACAGCTTTGGGGTGCCTGGGTGGCTCAATCGGTTAAGAGTCTGACTCTTGGCCGTTGAGCATCCGACTTCAGCTCAGGTCATGTTCTCACGGCTCTTGAGACTGAGCCCCATGTTGGGCTCTGTGCTGACAGCTCAGAGCCTGGAGCCTGCTTGGGATTCTGTGTCTCCCCCTCTCTCTACCCCTCCCACACTCATGCTCTGTCTCTCTCTGTCTCAAAACTAAATAAACAACAACAACAACACATTAAAAAACAAAATGAGTCCGACTCTTGGTATCGGCACAGGTCACGATCTCGTGGTTTTGTGAATTCGAGCCCCACCTCGGGCTCTGTGCTGACAGTGTGGAGCCTGCTTGGGATTCTCTCCCTCCCACTGCCCGCCCCCCCTGCCCCTCCCCCGCTCATGCTGTCTCCGTCTCTCTCAAAAATAAATTAAAAAACTAAAACAAACAAACAAAACCTCTTAAAAAAAGGATAAACACATCATTTTCAGGTATTGCCCAGAGAATACTTCTGCACACCATGGGAGGGCTGGAGGAGGGAGAAAGGAGAAAGGAGGAGCCTGTTTATTTTGCATTCTGGATGAATCAGGCTTCTCCAGGTATCTAACTTCTGTGGTAAGTGAAAACAGACCACGCTGCTAATCTCAGTATCCAAAGGACATTATGAAGAAACAGCAAAGACAAAGCTAGATCAGCCACTGTTGGCGTAAGTTCCCCGGGTTAAACTGGAGAGATTATTTTATAAACTGCCTGCCACTGTCTACAGAAAGGCAACATAAAAGTTCATTCTGGGTCACCTCAATTATTTAATCGTTTTGGAAATTACTATTAGATAAGACTAGTATTTTCTTACTTTTCTTCTGATAAATGTACAATTTTGATCATTCTCTGCTCAGGCGGATATGAAAGAATAAAACGTTAATGCTCAAACCACATTTTAAATCAAACAGTTTAAAAAAAATTTTTTTTTTTTTTAAATTTGAGAGAGGGAGAGAGAGAGAGAGCACAAGCAGGGGAGAGGGGAAGAGGGAGAGAGAATCTTAAGCAGGTTCCACACTCAGCATGGAG